CGGGGTGGGAGTTCTTGTAGATCAGCTGGTAGTGGTAGCGGTGGCGGAGATCGACCGGGACGGCCAGCTTGAAAACGGTAAAGCTGCGCCAGCGAAGCGTGGAGCTGGTGTTGATGCGAAGCGAGCCGCCGCCCTGCCAGGCGTCGTGGTGGACCATACGCGCCTGCTCGGCGGAGATGAAGACGGGTCGTTTCGACTGCTGGCGCAGGTCGCACCAGGGCTTTGAGTCAATCCGCNCGCACCAGGGCTTCGAGTCGATCCGCTGGCCGCGGTCGTAGCGGCCGCTGCCGCCGACGCCCTCGCAGAAGGAGGTGCGAATCGGCAGGCGGTCAAAGAGGCGCTCGCGAATGTAGCGGGAAAGGCGTTCCCAGAGGCGGTTGTCATTGGCGGTGAAGTTGTCCGGTCCCAGAATTTCCCAGGTCCAGCCGGGGGCGAAGATGGCGGCGCTAAAGGCACGGTGGCGCGCCTCGCGTAGGGCAATGTTGCTGAAGAAGCCGCCGCCGCCGAAGCAGCCACGGCCGAAGACGTCGATGCCGACAAAGACGCGGTTGTGCAGGCGGCGGCCGGCGCGATGGCCGTACCGCCCATGAAGATGGGCCCAGCACCGGTCCAAGTGCTCTTCCGTCCAGCAGTAGTTGAGGAAGATGGCGTCCGATGCGGCGAAGAACTCCTGGTTGCGAAAGTTGAGCTCATTTTGCCAGGCCAGGGAGCCGTCGTCCGAGGTGACGGCGTCGTACCTAGAGAAAAAGAGGAGGTGGTTAGGTGGAAATAGAAATAGAACACCCAAAATCAATAGCTCACCAAATGACGGCAATGTCCCGTTCCGGCAGGCCCAGAATCGCCTTGGTCTTCGCGCGAAGCGACCGCAGAAAAAGCTCCATCAGGGGAATCTTCTCCTTGGCCATCGGTGCCTCAATGTTCACCAGCCAGCCGTCAAAGCGGTAGAAGGCGGCGATGCGGGCAAGAATGGAGGTGACCTTCTCCACGGTCTCCACATCGGCGAGCGTCTTGTTGACCATGCCCATGTAGTACTCGCGTAAAAAGCGGCCCTCATCTACCTCCGTCTCTGGCGGCTCCTCGATGATGAAGGTGCCAAAACAGCGGACGCCGTTGCGGTGGGCGACGGTGGTCCAAGCGATCGGGGGAATAGTGACCATGTGGTGACTGAAGTAGATGAAGATGTCTACAAGAGACCAGTGGGTGAAGCGGTAGGCGAGGGAGTTGTTGTGACCATTGTTGATGCTGCAGTAGTGGAAGAGGAAGATTCGATTAGGAAGTTGTGCCTAAATAGAAATTGAAATAGAACTCCAGACACCACCAAAACTTACTGGTCATCAATGTAGCCGCCCTTCATGTCGTGGCAGACCAGCGTCAGCGGATCGGTAGTTTCGGCGACGTCCACAGTACGCTTGATGCGTTTGGGAATGAGATAGCAGTGCTTCTCGTCGTCGGCCACCGAGCCGTCGACGCCCTCCGGCGCCTGTGGTTCAGTCCACT